CTTGAATCATTATTACACTTAATTAAATTCAAAACCTCATATTAATGCAGAAGCCAAGCTAAAAACTCAAGCACACAGAAGGCTATGGTGACCTGATAGCACAGCCACCACTTGGAAAGTGGCCATCTGGCACAAGATCCCTGGTCACAGCTCGGGAAGCTGCTAACAGCGATGACAAAACATGTCATCGCCTTCAATTCTGGTTCCCAGCTGAAACAAGGGTGCCGGCCACCTGTCTAGACTTTGGAAGAAAGCATCAGTGATGGCCTGCCTTTTTGGCAGATATGGCACGACTTAAGCCCTGTCCCTTCCCCGAGTGCCACCTTGGACCCTACCCCCCAGAGTCCTACCTGACTGAGTCTATGCCCTGGGGCAGGGGCGCTCCAGCCTCTAGCTGGGAGGATGTTAGTGTCACTGCCACGAGCCAGGTCAACCCTTTCCTGGCCACAGTTTTATATGGTGAGCAAGGATCCAATGCTGCTGTTTCCTGGAGCAGTGCTCCAAACATGGTTTGTGGAGCAGGAATTGAACCTGGGTTTCCAGAGGCCACAGGTAATACCCTAACTTCTAGAGCAGCCTGTGACTCTAATGAAGGTTGCAGGTAGGACCTTCCTTGTTGGCTGCTCAAAGCAGTGATTTTTCAACCAGGGTGTCACAGCAAGGTGCTTTGAGATCCTTTCAAGGGTGCTGCAGGACACCACTCAGTATTAGCACTGGCAGGTGTGCACACATGATTCAAAAGATAAACCCAGAGATTTCACATAGGAATTCATAGATTTAAAGCATTCTCACCTGTTGTGGTCTTTCTGAGTTCTTTGTAACAGATGAATTGGTGTATTATTTTTTCATAGTCAAAAAATGACTGAAAGCTAAGAGCTGGCATTTTCCGAGGGGTGCCTTGAATCTAAAAAAGATTGAGAACCACTGGCTTAGAGCCAAGCCAAAACTTTGCATGGTCCCAGTGCAACAAACTCGCCTAATTTCTGCTGGGCTCCAACAGCTCTTTTAAGACACAGTGTGTGTGTAGGGAGAAAGAAGGCAATTTGAGTGCTGTTTGCTGTGAAAGTGTGGTAATCAAAGCAGGAAACAGAGTTTGGATGGAAATTGCTGCAGCCCAGCACACAGCAGAGAGAGCTAAACCCATCTGCTTTTTATTTTATGTTGGTGCAATAGCTTTGGGCTCCAGAATGGAACGCAGCAGGTGAAATGATTAGGAAGTGTGTCTCAGTCTGTGGGTTTTATTTAAAGCCCCAGTAGATGCATCTGTGTTTGTGCTGTGGGCTGGGGAAGATTCATGATGTTCAGTGATGTACCGCCATTCCTCTCTTTTTCCATCTTTCTGGGCTGTGATATCAAACCTGCAAGAAGACTGACACTGCCTGGGATGTTGCTGGCATGTTGGTTTTTCACATTGCATTATGTACAATGTGGTTCTTTGCTTTGACAGTTATAAACAGAGTGGGGCTGGATTGAGACTAGATTTAGCTTGGTATTAGGATTCATGGTAGCTCTTGGTTCAGCACGAAGTTGGGGTTTTAAAGTCAATGCAGCTGTTCTCATGCAAGTCTTTTATCTACAAATAATGGCAGTCTCAGGAGCTCAGTTGCTCTCATGAAGTCTTCCACCACCTCAGCCTCTTGGTGGTTCAGACCTAACCAACAGCTGGTGGAGCAAACTGAGTCCAGGGATTTCAATCTGACCCCCTCTGAAAATCAGAGTTGGGCTAGCTGTAGTTAATAGGAGGAGCAGCACATATTAAACTGCAGAGCAGCAGGTTATATATTGTATGGCTGTTACAGCAGAGTTGTTGCTGCTGCTTGAGATTTAAGCACTCTTTGTCTTGTATTTAATATGTTTGTATGTGCGAGTGCATGTACACACAGGGTCCCAGTCCCAAGGAGCTAAAAAAACTCTATAGAACAGGCATTGCAGCCCCTAAGGCCTACCAGCCTGCCTACTAACAACTCACCCCAATGTTGGCAGACCAGGTGTTCATAAGAACAAGCAGAAAGGGTGTTCTAACCAGCTACAGCTGGATGCCTCCAGGAACAGGCTGGCTAGGTGCTGTGCTGCCTTGTACTGTATTGACAAGTAATAGCAGTCACTACCCGTTCTTCCCCTGCCCCGACACAGCAGGCAGACTGTGTTGCACTAGTGATAAACAGGGATCCTGGTTTTCTCTGATTAACAAAAAAATCCCCTATTTTCGAATATAAAAAGTAACCCAAAATCCACATTTTTCCATGCTTAAAATGAAACACCACTATCTCTCTCTCTCTCTTTACATATTAGTGGCATTTCGTTGTAAACGTGGAAAAATGTGGATTTTCAGTTCCTTTTTTTAATCGAAAAAAAATCCCCAATTTTATCAGAGAAAATCAGGATCCCTGGTGATAAACAACCTTGGGCAACCCCAGAAACAGGCAGACTGGGTGCTTTGCTGCATTGGCAAGCGACACCTAGATGCCAGTACAGCTCTGCTAGCAAGTCTTAAGACTTCCTACTTTCTAAATAATCAAAGGGGGAGGAGGGAAATCTCCAGGGGGGTATCAGTAACATGGCACTAGGGAGTGCTGTAGTGAACTTGGGATCCCTAATGGCTAGCAGCTCGTGGCCATGGCCCTCCCTGGCTTCAGAAGAGGTGCGTACATTATGGGAGCACCAACAGCCGGTTGCTAGATGAGGTGGTGTCCCAGGTTCCACGGCTGACCAGCAACAGGGGTGGGCTGGAGGGGTTCCTGGGGCTCTGACTGGCCCTAGGCAATGCCTGCGAGACTGGTCTATAGGACAGGACAGATGTCCATGGGACATGTGTTGCCTCTGATTCCACGCAAACCCTTTCAGCCCAGTCCTGCTGTGAAGTGGCCCAATGTAGCCCTGTCTGGCACAGGGCGCCAGGCAAAAGCTGCCTCTAGAATTTTTTTTTGTAAAATTATATGTCTTTATAAAGGTTTCACACACACACCTTCTAGTCACTGTTCATTACCTCCTTAACCCACCAAAAGAGACCCACGCGCCCGTTACAATATACGCACCTGCAGAATGGCGCTCCCACGCACCCTGCTGCAAGGCATCATCTCCCTCAAACCCCTTGTCTCCTAGTCCTGTCCCTGAATATGGGCTTTAAATTCATTCGCTTTTGCTGGAGGACCCACTGCTGCTGTCACTGCTGCCATCCTCATTGCTGTCTTCCAGTCTGGTTGTCTGCCTCTAGTTACTCCAGGCCTGCTCTGTTTGCAGGACAGGACAGTGCGCTCAGGCACCCTGCAGCCACGGACCCACCTGCACATGCTGCTTCTATCAGCACAGGGGGAGGTACCTCTACACCTGCTTCCCTAGTCCTCCCAAGAGAGGGACTTGCAGAGGCACCTGACATATCTGAAATGCTGGTCCTGTGACTGGCCAGATGTTGAGACCAGTCCGGTCATGAACCAAGTGCAGAGTGGGGGGGGTAGAGGGGGGCAGAGGGACTTCAGATGTCCTGCTGTCTAGCTGGTGAATTCTTTCTGCTCTGAGGCACCTGCTCCCTTTGACACGCAAACAAGCTAATCCTCCCTCTGCTTGAAGAAGCCACAGCTCTTCCAGATGAACCCTTGCAACGTTAATGGGGCAGCAGGCCCCTGGAGTTAACCCTGTTAGGTCCACCTGCCGTTGTCATGTCTATCCAGCTAGATGATTCACCATTTCTCTCCGCAGCCGCCTCCTTCTCCCCCAACCCCCACAGGAGCCACATCACATCCCTCTCTCTCCTTTGAAGCACAGTGGATCCTGTTAAAGCAGCTTATCTCCTTCAGCATACATGGCAGGCTGGAAGTGCAGGTGGTCATGTCCAGTCAGAGCCCATTGTCTAGGGGGCAGGGATAGGCTTTCTCCTGGCAGACATGGAAGAAGCCCACGTCGTCATCAAGGAATATTGATTGCTTTTACCATATGTGTGTGTGTGTGTGTGTGTGTGTGTGTGTGTGTGTGTGTGTGTGTGTATGTGTGTGTGTGTCCGTTGCTTTTCCCCTCCAGTTCAGAAACCAGAAGGGTTTGCGAGGAATTAGCTGAGATGCATATTCCTGAGAGAGAGGGAGAATTAAAAAAAGACACAGAGAGGCACACGCAGGCAGCCAGAATTGAAGCCTTGAGGAAAACAATTTCAAACAACCTGGCTTTTTAAAAAATAAAGCAGAACGCGGAGCTTGGGAGCTGCGTTGGAGGAGCAGGACCAATCAGAGAAAATGCATGCTTATCTTTCTTGCCCTGGAGAAACACAGCTGGGAAATGCAGCTCCTCTGAAAGTGGGGAAGACAAGGGAGCAAGCTGGGGGCCATGGGTTTTAGTCCATTTCCTTGCTTTGGTTTACATCGGCCAAGGAGAAATCCCCAATGCCTCTAGGCTCTTCCTGGACCCCTTCCCTCCACATTCTGCACAACTAAAACATGGCCAACTTGCCATCTATTCCTAATATGCTGGACCAAGTTCATCCTGAGTGGGATGCAACAGTACTCCACTGTTTGTAGCCCAGGAATGAGGCCATGACTCCTTGTTCCATCATGCACCTGTATCCTGCCATGTCCCACCTTCATTCAAATGTGTCCTCGTGGGACTCTCCACTTCTTCCCAGTGCCCAACTCCTGTTGTGGTCACAGTGTATGAGCTCTCATGAGCTTTCTACCCCCAAAAGGTCTGTGTAGGAGAGCTGATGAGCAGGGCACAAGCCATCAGAGTCCTCCTTTCCTTCACCCCAGAAAAATAGGGACCTGTTTCAGGAAAAGAGGTGGCTGGACCCTCCAAGAAGGGAGGCCTGGAGGTCTGGAAGTAGGGAGACCTCAAGACTGAGTTTTTCCTGAGCATCCACATGGGCTTCACTGATACCCTTTCTTTCACTCAGAGGATTAGGATGTAGTGACTCTGCTTTTTCAAACGGGGTTCATTACATTTCCATAGTGCTCCTAGATTAAGAGCTTCTCTGTATATGCATTTTGATGTTATCTTCTTCTTTTCCTCTACCAAAGGTCACCCATCCATCTAATCCCACAGAGAAACCAAGCTGGAACACCTCTTTTCTCTTCCAAGGCAGGGATGGGGCCACCATCTTCTCAGATGATACTGCCCTGGTGATCGAGTACTATCCCCACAAACCAAGTGAGTCTTTGGAATTCAACCAGAGACACGGATCCCTTCCACTGGAGCGAGGGGTACAGACAGGTCTAGACTTGGCAAGTTCAGAAACTGAAGCTTAAGCTGGGAGTCTGAAAGAAGGCTGCCTGTCTGAAGATGGCTGTTGTTTGGGAATCCTGGGTGTCTGGTTTTGCTCCTATCTGAAATGTCCTTAAGGTCTTCATGCTACCTATTAATAGTATGCACTTGGTCACCTCTGCCAGTGCCTGATTCATGTCAGCAGAAGACTGTTTGAAAGGCATTAAGTTCGATTTCAGAACTATCATCATGCATTGGGTAGAGTCTCTGGGCCATTGTGCTGCTGGTTGGGCATGATCTTTGCATCATAATGCCACCATTTTGGTAGGCTCAGGGAATAGAGTCCCTGGGCAGTAGCATTGCCAGTTCCTTGGCAGGGGATAGCAGAAAACCCTCATCTCTTCTGTTTTTAAGTATGCTTAATGTGATTGCTTTTCCCAGTGTCAGAAACAGATCCTGAGAACGTGTCACAGCCTTTGGGTTACTCCGTATTGCCCCTGACCAACCGTGTGTATCGGAAGCTTGTGGCTGAGAGCAACCGGAGTGGGATTCAAGTGGAAAACCTTCTCGTCCAGGTAAATGAGACCAATGCCCTGGCACCCTGTTAGAAAGAAGTGTTTGCATAGGGATAAATCAGATAACACCCAGTTTTCTGTTTGACTGTCTGGCTTTGGCCTGTGTGGATGAGAGGCCCCAGAGAGAACAGGGCCAACCAGAAGGAGATCTCATGCACAAGGGAGCCAGGAGGCAGAAGGGAGGAGGTGTATGTATAAAATGATCACAGTCAGGAGAAACATCAAGCTAAGGGGCTTTCTGAGTTCTGTCAACCCACTGGCTTGGATAAGCTGATGCCCTAGGATGGATTTTGTTGGCCTTATTCTTTGTGTTTTTTTCCCCCAGGACACCAACCTGAAGACCACATCTGGTGGTATCCCGACCATTCAAATCAGTTTGCAGCTGGTTGGCTCAGAGGTGAGACAGATAGGGAAGGAACAAAGCAAATGCAGAGACAAGGAGAGTGGGGCTTCATGAGCATAACTGAGGGAGGGAGTTTGCCCTTTATCTCTACAGGGGCCTTCCCTAAGGAGAAAGGGGGTTGTTATGGTTAGGGATGAGATCCAAAGCTCAACACTGTGTCCTCTGGATTGAAGAGCATGTTGGGTCTGACTCCAACTGCCCATGGCCAGGGTTTACTCTTCTTGCTGAGCTGTATTACAATTCACTCCCTTCTTGACTTGTACTCCCAGATATTGCCCTGTCCCCCAACTTCGGACAAAGCTGCCCCATTCCCTTAGCAGAAATTGGGGAGGAGGAGAGCAGAGCAATCATACGGGGTCTGTGCCAATGAAGCTGGCATTGAACAGCATGATGGAAAACAAGCTGCAGAAGTCTGGGTTGCTGCTGTCCTGAAAGCAAGTTACAGCCAGAACAGCCTCAAAATGTATGAGCCCTTCTCTGCCTTTGGTTTGTCTCCCAGAGCATGTAAGGGGAGACAGGGTAGGACCATGTAGATGGGGAGGTCAGAGCTGCTGGGGTTAAGAAGATGGATGGGGTAGAAGGGGAAAGGTGGGGCAACAGAGTAACCTAAATCCCATGCATCAGCCTTTGGAGAGCATTTTTTTTAACTGCTGCTGTGCAGCCCACCATGGACAAATCACACCAACATGCACACATTCCCACTGCATGTCTTGTGTGTACCCAATGCAGGCCATGTGACTTCTGCAGGTGTCTGGCAAAGATGCTTTCAACTCAGGTGAATAGGCTACACTCAGCAAAGCAACTGAACCTTGAAGCCCCATCTCCTCCTTTCCAGTTAGCTGCATGCAGGGGAACTGCCACAAGTAGCCCCACTCTGCCAGGTGACGAGGGCTCTGATATGCAGGGGGAATAGCTTCTTGCATATCCACAATACTTGCTGTTCTGGTGTTTTCAAGCCAAAGCTTTGTTTAGTTAGGTCTTGAAAGACCTCCAAGGAAGGAACTTCCACCACCTTTCTGGGTAACCTGTTCTCAGAGAGAGTCCTTCCTAATATCCAACCTATGGCTGCTCCTTATTCTGTCATCTGCCACAACTGAAATGAGAAAGCTAATGCCCAACATGGGGCTTGAACCCATGACCTTGAGATTAAGAGTCTCATGCTCTACCAACTGAGCTAGCTGGGCTTATTTAAACCCCTGTAGTTTCCACCAACACATTCCAATCTTGCAAAGCTGCACGGCTCCTGCCCAGATTTGCTTTGCTGTTTCCTGAAGCTTTGTGCGTATGGTTTGTACTGATAAAAGCAAAGGGTTGACAATGCTCATTGCAAGCAAGCTTCACATGCACATACGTGCATAATTCTGCCAATTGACCTGGCATCTGCCTTGAATGCCATCCATGGTCCAACCCTACTGTACCCAAGCACCTTCCCCTTACTGATGGGATTATTCCCATTCTCCCTACTACTGCAGCTGGTGTTACCATTCCCATTTTACAGGTAGGGAAACAGAGGCACAGATGACTTGTGTGATTCAATCCCTGCTGCGCCGGTCTATCAACATCAGAGTTTTGCCAGGGCACCTCATTTGAGACCCTTGAGACTTGTTCTGCTTGTTCTGGGGCCTTGCACTAGCACTAGTTGCCACTTGCAATACCTCTCAATTTCAGTCCTGGCCTTCTCCCAGACCCCAACTCTCTGCTGCCTGCTAGTCCAGCTCCACAGCATCCACTGCTCTTCCTGGGCTGCTTTTGCAACTAGCAGTGTCCTCATATTGTATGGTCATTATTTCTGATGGTGGGCAAGATATCCACTAAGGCCTGCAGGTTAACCTCACCTGTGACCTTGTTCACAGGGCTGGAGATTCATTCAATAGGGCCAAGACTGTCCTCAGGACCTCCCTGCCAGACCACTTTGCACCCTGTCCCTACAAACATAGCCTGGGGCTTCCTGGCTTTGGGGTACACCGCTCTGCACCCCAGGTAAAATCACAGGGAAGAAGTAGCAATCAGGGGCCAGAGTCCTTTTACCCTCCAGGAGCAGAGACTGTCTTCATTGAGCCCAAGATCCTTAAATAGCAGGACTTTGTTTTAGTAATCTTGGAAAGACGTTTGCAGGAACTATTGCCTCTAAAATATCAGGTGCACCCAGCACAGCACCCTCATCTTCCCATGCCTCTGTGATGGACCAGCTGAATCCCATCCCTTTATCAGAGTGGGAGTCTTTTACATGATGCTATATGGATAGTAAAGAACTTGTGGCAGGCCTTAGAAGAGCAGGGGAAAGCAGCTGGCCTGAGACAATATTTGCCTTCCTCGTGCATTTGTGGAAACATGCTTTGTGCTATGTAGCTGCCACACCCGAGGCAGGTGTATTTCAATGGCACAGCGTTTATAAATGTATGCACCATTTAGGGATTTTTTTATTTTATAAAAGTTAACTGTTGTGGCAAACTTTTTGATTGTCACTTGCGGACATTAAGAGCTTCACAACACCAAGGATGGAAATCTGATCCTCTTGCTCCTAAAGGAGACTCGCCACTAGTTCTTTGCACCACAGGGCCTATGACATGCAGCTGGACAGTTTGGATTTCAGTCTCTAGAACGTGCTAATGTACATACCCACTAGCCCATTTGCTCCAATGATGGCACTGAAATTCTGCACCAGCCCCCCTCTGCCCCCCACCCAATAATATCCATAAAGTAATTTGGGACAGAACTTAATGCTATTCCTTTTATTTCATTGCAAGCTTTCCCTGGGGAGTTGCACCATGGGGTGATGGCTGGCTGGTGTGGTACTTTGGAGTAATTGCACCATGGGGTGATGGCTGGCTGGTGTGGGACTTTGGAGCAGTTGCCCAGGGGGTCAGCAAAGAGGGGTCTGCGTGTGATGAATTATTCACAGGGGTGTCACTAAGTGCAGAATTAATCCCTTTCCTTCCAGCTGGCTGCCGCACTAAATTATCACTCCCAGTCATGCGGGAAAATGCTGTGGAATTCATTTAGCTGATTATTGTTTTGATCTGGGAGCTGTAATTTTTTTTTCCCTTTCCTCCTCCCTCCCCCTGCCCTTTCCTCTCCCAATTTCTCCCCTTCTTGGTAGCACATGGAAGAAGCAAAGGAGTAAACAAAAAACACTAGAGTTAGACCTGGTTCTGGGATTAGGGCCTCCCCCACCCCCGTGCTTCTTCTTTTAAAGGCTTAAAGCAGCAAGAGCCATGCAACATTGCAAATGCATGAATTTTTTGCTCTCAGCATAAAGGAAGGGGAAGGGAGGAGGGTGGGGAGATGTTGGAACCTCTTGGCAGGTTCAGGCAATCTCATCTTTGATTTCTTTTCTCTGTTAACCCTTCGGAAGCTGTGAGCATGCACCTGAGCTGCCAACTTGGTTGGGGGAGCAGAGGGTGCCAGCAGCCAAAGAGTTAAATGGAATGGAAAAATGATAATAATAGTGCTGCTACAAGTGAGGCGCTGAGCGTTGACAGGGAACAGGCACCGAGCTACTCTGCCCGGTTTCCGGTTTCGTGTTCCCCATAAAACTCAGTCCAGTCCTGCAGCCCTGCCTGCTAGTCCACTAGTCCATTCCTGTCCAGCCCAGCTCTTCTGAGGAGCTCCTGTTCTGACCTACAGCTCCCCCTGCACATCTGGGTCCCCACACAGCTAGGCTTCAGTTCCAACCTGCAATCCCCCCGCTATTCTAATCCAAAACCCTTCCCCTGTGTCCAAACCCAGTCCTGCCAGTCCGTCCCTGTCCTGAGCTGTGCCAACGCACTCTCATTCTGACCTGCGCCTCATCCCTTGCTATTTCAGCATGACACTGCTGCCTTCCTTTCCCAGCAGACTCTGCTATGGCAGCTCACGTGTGTTTCTCTCGTGCTATACTGTGCCAGTCTGCCTGGTGGCTTCCTCATGTTGACAGATGTCCCAGAGGGACGAGGAAACTCAGGCCGTCTCTCTCTGATTCCCTTAATGGTATAACAGAACCAAGCCCACTGAAGCTGAAAGGCAACTGTGTTAGCACTCAAGATTCCCCATCTAGCTGCACAGGCAGCTGTCTCCAGCGAGAGCCTGCTTCTCTCAGTGCTGACATGCTGGAGACAATAGCAGACATCAGCCGATTTGCATTTCTCTGGCACTGGGAGCTCAGTGTGGTATTGTGGCCTATCTCTTTGCTGTCCTAGGATGGAAAGGCTGATTGCACTGATCAGTTAGGCCATGATCATCCTTTCAGCTCTCTTTCCTTCACCCCCCCCCCCCACACACACACAGAGCAGGGATGTGCCTCCCAGGAGCTGATCAGAACCTGATGGGCCTGGGTTTTCACATAAGCAGTGGGGGGAAATTTTGGGGGGGGCGCTGAGCCCCACCTGACCCCCGCCCTTCCCTCCCATAGGCCAGCACGCACTGGTGCTATACACAGCAGCAGAGGAGTAGCTGCATGCCGAGTGGCATCAAGTGCTGTGGGACGGTGGCACCATGATGCTGCTGCTGTCACCAGCCACCGCGAAAAGTTTGGGCAGGCCTAAGGCCCGTTAGCTCCGGCCTTCTGCTGCCTGTGGTTTCAGACTTACCAGGTATAGGGCCCGATCCTATAAAGCCCTACCTCCCTTTTAAAAGTGCTTAAGTGCTATCAGCTCCCTTGCAAGGTGGGAGCCAGGGAAAGGAAATAACATATAGTGAGATGACTGACAGCGATAGGCAAGAATTTATTGTGTCATGTTATATGGTTCTGTCAGGGGGCATTAGGCCCTGTAGAGCCCCATCAGGAATGACTTTGGTGTGGGGTGTTATCTTTCAAAAGAAACTCAACTGCTGTGATGATAGGTGTGTGTTATAAACATTTATTCCCCAACCCAAGCAGGAAGCAGAGTTTTGACTGGCAAAAGAAAGTAGCACCATAGGCGACGTGAACTTTACAAGTGACTTTGCTATGGCCATTGATTGGGATACCATTTAGACATGCATGGAATGGGAAGCAGTATATAACCCACTGGATA